ATCAGAAAACTGAGGCTGAAAATGTTTAAGTACTTTGCTTTAGGCCACACACAGCTAGGTGATTGAGCTGGAGGTTGTCGGTGTTCTGGTCCTCCTCCACAGCTGACATGCCTTCTCCTCCACCATACGGCACAGTGACGAAGTGGTTACGTGCTCCTGGAAAGCAGGATCCCCAGGACTGGGGCAGCAAGGCAGGTTAGAGAGCAAAGGAGAACAGTGTGGGCCTCTGGGGTCACTCTGACGCTCTCTGAAAGCAAACCCACATCAGAACACAAACAAAAACAAAACTGACCCAGGGATTTTTTAGTGGAGTTTTACTCTCCGTGGAAGACACCTCCAAAAGGGGAACCTGAGCCCACGAGCTCCTAAACTCCTGCAATGATGTCAGCGGGGGACCAGAGCTTAGACATTTATCAGCAGTGCTGTCTCAGCTTCCTGGCTACTGGCCCCTCACCCCACCCCTACCTCTTTTCCTGGATTCCCTCTGAAATAGATGAAAACAATTTCTTCAGCTCCTAGGTCGTCCCTCTGAGAGACTTGCTGGGAGAATACCAGGATGTTTTTTGTTCTAACTGGAGGAAAGAGAATCAAAGGCGGCTGTTCTTACAATACACGCTGAGTAAAGTCTTCAGCGGCCCGCCTGGCCCTCTGTGACTTGACCCTGCCAACCTCCTCCTTGTCTCCTCCCATTCATGCTCCCACTACAGTAGGTTCCTACTGAATCCCAAAGCCAAGAGTGCTCCCACCATATAGTCTTTGTGAGGTCGCAGTTCCCTCTTTCTGGAATGTTCTATCTCCCAGGTTTCCACTTTGCTCAGCTAACACATCATTGGGTCCAGACACTTGGCTAAAGCTGACCTTCCCTCCAGACACTCCCATGCTGCCCTCGTTCTCATGGTGTTTAACATGATCTGACTCCGAGCAGCTCTTCCATCTGCGTGGATTCCATTACTAGTTTCCAGCTTAGTCTGTCTCCACTGGAACTTGGGCTCCATGAGGGTACATCAGCCTGCTCCCGCCACACTGTCGGCAGCTGAGATCAGGCCTGGATCATTGTGGATATGTGGATGAGAGAGAGAGATCATGCTTGACTTGAGAGAAGATCTCAGGCAGCTGTGTGGAGTCTGGAATGCACTAGAACAATCTGGAACACACTAGAACCACGAGTGGGTGTTCCCTTTGTGCCACAAACACGTTGAGAGTCACAAGCATCTAACAGCCAGCTCTGTGACTGACTTACGGGGTTTTGCAGGGACCCCCACATAGCAAACGGGACCACTCACAAAGTCCTACTCACTCTGGGATCTCCATGTCAACCAGACCCTGTTACCCTTTGATGGAGCCAAAGCTGATATTTGTGGGCCAGTCTCAGAATGAAGCAACAATTAAAACACTACTTTTCTGGTGGAAATGTCCCAAAGCCCAATAATGCCCTTCTAAAGATGACCCCTTCATAGGATGGAGGGCTGTGAACCCTGCAGGCCCGGGAAGGAGTGGCCAGGTAGGACCAAGGACACAAGCTGAATCTTGTTCTAAGCCCAGAGCCTATCCCCACCCACATGCTGCTGCCATCTGTGGCAGGCTGTAGAGTGTGGTTAGCAGGCCTCCCAGCTCTGCATCTCACTTACACCCCACTGTACAACCACTGGGGTTATTTTGGGGAGCTGGCCTGTCCATGGTGAAGAAGGTATAAAAGGGGGGGGAGTATTCCCAAGTTGCACTGAGGTCCACGGAGCCAAGTCTGAAGCACTGATATCCTCACCTTGGCTTGCAGCAGTATTCACATCGAAGCTTTTCTCTTGAGCCTTGTTGTGACTCGGTTCCCTTCTCCCATTCTGCTCCAAGTCTAAGTTACTAATATCACTAGAGGGTCGGGAAGGTCAGAGAACATTGGGAAGTAGAGGCAGCTGAGAACGGCCTCCATTCCCGCCCAGGTGTTTATGTCTGTCCAGCTCATTGATCTGTCCCTGTGGTGGAAGACAGATGTTCGAGACACAGTCCTGAGACTTTACCACCTCACCGCTGGGGTGTGCTGTAGAGCAGATAGAGGTGGTCTGGGCAGCCAGTCCTCTTGTCTCATTTTAGGGACTTGCTCCAGGCCTTGGAACAATAGACAATCCAGGAAGCACGCTTATCTCAGAACAATAGCTTCTTCTGCAGGATGCTTGTGGCTTGCTTGCTTTCACTCTATGATTACTGTTTTGGAAGGGTGTGTGTGTGTGTGTGTGTGTGTGTGTGTGTGTTGGGGAGCACTTTTACAGCCTGAGAATTGACACCCTCCTGCAGAGTCAGTGTGTGAGAGGGTGGGTGTGTGTGTGTGTATGTGTGTGTGTTGGGGAGCACCTTTACAGCCTGAGAATGGATACCCTGCAGAGTGTGTGTGTGTGTTGAGGAGCACCTTTACAGCCTTAGAATTGATACCCTGCAGAGTGTGTGTGTGTGTGTGTGTGTGTGTGTATGTGTGTCTGTTGAGGAACACCTTTACAGCCTTAGAATTGATACCCTGCAGAGTCAGGCCATCATCAGAACAGCCAGCAGCTAAGGTGGGGACTTCAACCCACGGCTTGACTCAGTGGCTGCAGTGGTGAAGTGACCTGGTGACCTTGAAGTTCAGTGATGGAGTGGACAAGGTCTGTCCATGGACTGTCTTGGAGCAGGAACTGGCCCCACAGAACCTCTGTACTGTGACCAGGGAGACAGGCCAGGCCCCTCCCTCTCAGAAGCCCAGGCTCACCTGCACCCTTGGTCCTCCCTGGCCTCAGGGCTGGGCACTCACATGACTCTCATACCCACACACAGAGCCCAGCCCACAGGGACCTGGCCCATGGGCAGCCCCATCCCTTTCTGCACACCTGGAGAATCTTGAGACAAGAGCCACTTTATTCTGAGCCGCTCAGAGGGCAGCATGGACCACAGAGTGGGGTTATACAGAGAGTTTAACTTGTTAGATGAGGAGAAACTTCCCAGTGGTTGGATTCTCGTGATGGGAACACTCTGATCCCAATGGGGTGTAATTGGATCCTAGCCCACTAAGTGACTAGGGTCCCAGGGCTACAGAAAGAGTCTCTGTCCTGAGGTGGAACACCTCCTCAGCCTTCTCCCATCCAGACAAACCAAAATCCTCTCAGTATCAATCATCATTTCTTCACCCTCGTGATCCTTGGTTTTTTCAAGGCACCATATGAATTTGTTTTGACTTCTTGAGTGATACAAATGGTTGATGCGCTTAGTAAGAAATGAAAAGTCAGAGGTTCAAGTTCACCCAGAGGTGTCTTGGAAGAAACACCTGGCAGTCTCCTTCCCAAACAATAAAAGTTGTACTTGCTACCCAGTAGGACACAGTTCTCCACGCGGAGTTACCTTGAAAGGCAGCCGGCTTGACGGCAGCTGTTTTTTGTTGCTTGTATGAATTTTTAGAGAATCAAACATTTTAGGAAGTGTCATAGGGTGAAGGTGTGCATTCTTGCACTGAAACATGAATTGTCTCTTAAATGGAGGCTGTTATTGGTCACGGGGCGGGGAGGTCTGTGTGTCCCTTACCCATTGGTGTTCTGAAGGGAGAAGACTATCTCCATACTGCACACTGGCACAGGGACATACTGGCAAAGATTTTTTTCTTTCTCAGATTCTCAGTTCTTGCTGATACTCAGGGTCCTGGGGTAAGCCTCTCCAACTGTGCCCAAAACATCTGACTGAGCATTTTCGGAAAGGGGCCTCGTGATTCCTGACCTGGCCCCCACTTCCTCCAGAGAGTAAGCGGGCGGGTGAGTAAACTGCAGCTTCCCCCATCCAGCTGCCCGCAGTGGGGAAGTCCAGAGTGTCCTAGTGGCCTGTCCCGCAAGGTCCCCCACAAATTTATCATCTGCAAACAGTTCTGCTCCCCGGGTCGTCAGAGGTCTGGGTGATGCTGTGAATACTAAAAAACAGGCCACAGAGGGCTACTCTCCTTAGTGTGAAATGCGTCCAGGCTGACGTCCAGACTCAGAAATGAAGCCCCTCTCTCCTGTGGTATATATAGATCAGAGGTCTTGGGGAAATGTCACTTTGTGTCCCTCAACATCCATCCTCTCACAGAGCCTTGGTGGCTGGAACCAGATGACATGCCTCAGTATCAGCCTGACTTGCAAGCATGGCAGATTTTTGGTGACACTTCATCATTTCTCGGGGTGGCACTGGTGGAGGCCATCCAGAAGTCCAAGCAGGTCCCACAGTGCCCCTCTAAATGCAGGAAGTCACAGTAGAGGTGGGCAGCTCGGGCTCTGGACAGCAGCCAGGGGCTCAGGAGCTCCCGCTCTGCCTTGCTGAGCGTCCTGAGATGGCCCCTCCAGCAAGGACTGGGGGACTCCTGGGCCCACTCTGAGAGCTCTGGAACCAGAAAGGGCTGGCAGCCCCACAAAGGCCCCACTCAGTCCACTGAGTGCAGGGGTTCGTGGGCACCCACCCAGACGTGTAATGGCCAAGATGGCAGCTGCAGAGGCTGAGGTGGGGGCCCATCGGTATGACCCAGCCTTTTGATTCAAGAGAAATAACCACAGACACTGGCTCTTGGGCCCCAGGGGCTGTGTTTGCAGTAACTGGGGACTGGTGGTATACCAGCAAGGGCCAGTGGAAATGTCCCCTGAGATCAGGGAGGAGATTGAGGTGCAAGGGCGCTGATGGGGCTTGGAGCTAGGTTCAAGGCCTGCACCCCTCTCTCTCGACCAGCCCTGGGAGGTGGGCCTGGTCTCCAGGATTTCTGGAGCAGTGCTCTTCTTGTTAGAGCAGGCAGGCTGCCCAAACGTGGCTGCACTTGTAACCCCAGCTGACTTCGGCTGTGTGAGCCTCTCTTCTACCCAAGCCCAGGGTCACCTGGGGGTTTGGGTGGGTCTGCTCAGTGGGATGCAGGTGGAGCCCTTTGGTAACGGCTGCTGCACCATTAGTTGCTGGCCCCTCAGTTCAGGCCAGATGGGTCTCTGCTCCTCAACTTGGTGTCACCCTGGCCTCCCGGGCCCATCCCAGCCTCACTTCTCAGAGGCAGTTGTGGGCACAGGCTCCTCCTTCCCTTCCTCCTCCACCGAGAACATGACATCCCCGCAGCTGCCCAGAGGTGGCTCGGTCTCCTGCTCTGGATAGTGGGGGATGTGGTCCACTTCGAGGTCCTCCTCCAAATTGAGGGCCTCCTGAGTCGCCACACCCTGGCTCTCGGGCACCTCAGTCCTCACTGACCCCACGATCACGGTGTCTGCCTTCATAATGTAGATATTCTCTGCAAGGCAAAAGGAGAGGTGAGCAGGGAGACCAGAGCCCAGCTGGTGTGGGAGCAAGGAGAAGGAGCAGGAGGAAGGTCTCATCCCAGACCCCAGCTTGGTTACACCTTATCCCTGGGACCTCAGGTAGGTGACATCCTACCCAGCTCGGCCATTCCTCATCCCTGGGGACCCAGGCAGGTGACTGCCCACCTCATAGGTATATTGCAGCTCAGAGTAGATAAAGCAGCTAGGAAGCACACCCTATGGAATTAAGAAGGGCCCTTTAGAGTTTATGGGAGAACATACACATACATACAGACGAAATGCAAAAGCAGTGATGACAGAAACACACAGGAACACAAGTAGAGGTCCGTGCACCCCAGGCATGTACCCGGCGCCAACCTACACCAGCTCCCAGAATCCTCACCTCCCTGCTGTGAGGAAGAGGGTCTATTCTTCTCCTCACTTCACAGATAAAGAATCCAAAACCCAGTGGAGCTAAACACCTGCCCGAGGTCACTATCCAGCTGAAATCGTCACCTGTCTGACAAAGCGCCCCAGAAATGGAGGGAACCATGAATAAGGGCCAGAGAGCCTGCCTTCTTCTCTATCAAGGACAGCACAGGCCAGGGGCAGCCACAAGCCTAGAGACCAAACTAGGGGATCATCTCCTTCCAGTTTGTCTGGTTTTTAGTGTTGAAAGTGCTGCATTTTACTGCTTGAAAGTCCCTGGTCCCTGGGATCTCCTCAGGCCCGGGGAAAACCACGTAGCTGGTCACCTTACAGAAACCACGAACAGCCAACAGCAGCCAGTGCTTCCATAGAGCCTTGCTAGGGCTGAATCCATCAGTTTATGGCTTTTTACTGGTCTCTCATCTGTTTCTGAGTCAGAACTAACTCATAGCTAATCAATCTTCTGTTTTCAAAGCTATAAATCACGGGGGAGGAGACTGTCTCCGCACTCCTACGCAAGCCCACCGTGTCCTTGGTGAACTCAAACCACCAGAAAGGTGTAGCCTTTGACTTAACAACACAACACCCTATGAACTACACCACCAAAGGGCTCTTGGGCTTACCTGCCACATAGTCAAAAGCCAAACACCAAACCTACAACTATCAAGTTCATTCCAACTCGTAACCCTGCAGGACAGAGCAGAATTGCTCCACAAGGTTCCCCAGGCTGCAAATCGTTAGGGCAGTAGACTGCCACATCTTTCTCCTGCAGAGTGGATGTGGACTCCTGCAGCTAACCTTTTCATTAGAGGCTGAACTACCCACTGCGCTACTGGCCATCCTTGCACACAATGAAAAATTAAAATCCACTGCCGTCAGATTGAGACTGACTGCAACTACCATTGGCTTTCCAAGGCTGGAAATCTTTACAGATTTACAGGAGCAGCTGATGGACTCGAAAAGCCAGCCTTTCGGTCAGCAGTGTAACACGTAACACACTGAGCCACAGAGCTCCTTCCTAGCACACAGCTGTCGTTGTGTTGAGTCAGAATTGACTAAAAGCTGACCTTCCAGGAGGCTTTCAGAGGCAGTAAATGGACTGCATGCGAGGACACTGCCCATCTTTCTCCCACAGAGCAGCCAGTGGATTTGAACCACACAGCTCTGGGTTGGGAGTGCAATTGCAATAGCACTGGGATGAGAAACAAACCAACCCCATAAAGTCACAATTCCTCTTAGTCTCCACCATGATATGACACCAGAGCTTCCAGGGTTGACATTTAGTAAAGGGGACATGTAGACCAGGGAAGGATCTGAGAAAGATGCCCAAGAATCCAGTGAGTGGGGAAGCCTGGACCTCCTCCAGGTTCCCGCTTCTGATGACCTCAAGTTTGACATGGGACAATTCTAAGCAGTAGGGGAAGGGGATGTCAGAGACCCCTGGCTCTCTAGACAACCTAGTTATACCCCTCTGATTCTGTATCCCTAAAAAGCCTTTCCAAGGCTCCTGTACTCTCAGCCCTATTGAATAAAACCATCTCTTCTGTTTGTTTTTAACACACCCAGGGGAAGAGAGAGAAGTGTCCAAAATAGGAGCAAAAACTAGACGGATGCCAGGGGATTCAGCAAGCCGAGCACTGGCTGCCCTGAGCTCAGAGAGAGACAGAGTGGAGCCTCTGACTCCAGCCACTTGCCCCTGTGCCTTCACTGGGCCTGTGCCTGCACCCAAGGAACCCTGACTGAAGGACTGGGGTAAAGAAGAGGGTCAGATGAGTGAGAGAATACACAGAAGGGGACAGATGGGGAAAGCACAGAATAGAGAGGTGGAGCAGAGAGACCTGAGCACGCTGGAGGGTCGGGGGCTGGTTTTGTAGAAGCCCAAGGTGGAGGCACTTTTATACTCCAAGAGTCTTGACCTTCTGGCTCCGCCCCATCACAAGATTTAACACACACACACACAGAGTTGGGCTGGATTTGTTCTTCAAGCTGTTTCTACTTCCTGCCCCATTAGGGTTCCAGAATTCAGAGACATCATCTTGGCAGGGTATACACTGCAGGTAGGAGATGGAGTAGCCCCAAACTGGCACCAGGGGAGGGTGATAAGCCCCTTAGTGCTTCCCCAGCCCCCATATCCTCCCCCAGGAATTAGAAACTCCAGCTCAGGCCTGAGACTGGCCCCTCCTGGGAACCGGGGTGAGAAGATGTACTTTTGGGATTGCAGAGGTAGGACAAAGTGGTAACCATCTCTGGGATGCTCAAGAAACCTCAACAGGCTGAAGGCTGTTCTGGAGGGTTGTCCAGGCCCAGATACCCAGGAACGTGGGGAGGATGGTACCTCATTCTCCTTGCCCTCCATTACAGCCAAGCCCTCCCCACAGCACTGCAGGCACCACACTCAAATGTCCAAATTAGCAGCGGTGTCACCAGGGGACCCTACGGGTGTGGACCCCAGCTGGTTGGCACTGTCAGAGGGATAACATAAAAATATTCATAAAATTTGTGGGTGATCTTTCTGTAAAAATGGATTCTTTTTTAGGAAATTATGCCTACAGCAAGGAGCTCTGGTGGCTTAGTGGTTAAGAGGCTGTGCTGTAATCCCAAAGGCACGTGGTTCAAATCTACCAGCTGCTCTGTGGAAGAAGGATGGGCAATCTTCTCCCACATGATTAACTGCCTCTGAAAACCTGCTGGAGGGTCAGCAATGGGTCAGTTCCAACTTGATGGCACAAAACAACATACCTAGAGCTAGTTATGACACCAACAAAAACATTATTAGTAATCCCATTTTACATGTATTAACGTGCAAGCATGTCTTGTTTTATTGTGTCTCTTACTTTTCTTCTCTCTGCAAATATTGCATTTTTTCACAAATGAAAAGTTTTTGGCAACCTTGTATCTAGCAAGATCATTTTTCCAATCACATATGAAAGGCATGATGTTGGGAAGGGTGGAGGATCAGTGAAGGAAAAGACCCTCGACCAGGTGGACTGTTTCAATGGGCTCTTGTGGATGGAAGTGTGAGGCTGGCTCAGGATGGAACAAGGTTCAGAACTTTTGCTCATAGGGTTGTTATGAGTCATAGACAGCGCCTATCAACAACAATGCTCAGCTCACGCCTCTGTGCCCCATTGCGGTAACTCCCACCGTATTTCAGACTTGCTCATAATACACACTTAACAGACTCCAGGATAGTGTAAACTCCCCGGGAAACTAAAACATTCCTGTGACTCATTTTATGGCATTATTCACTTTATGGCAGTGGTCCAGAACAGAGGCCACAATATTGCCAAAGTATGCCTAATCCTACAAGGCTAACATTCTGTGCCCGTTTACTTTTTTTTCATTTTACAGTAAAAAGCAAAGTTGGTTTATTTGAACAAATGTGTCCCAAAGCAAGGAACAAACTGTTCTCCAAGGAAAAGAAGTATGAAGGAGGCCACTCATTATCTGTTGACTCTTCTAACGTATTCCGGCCAATTACATTACCAATTACAGTGATGCTTCTTGCCACAAGGACATGCCGTTGTTTCCAGTTTTGCTGATGATTTCACAATCACTGATTTTGTCAAATTTTCTGGTGCTTTAGCTACGATATTTTGGTAACTACTATTTATGAACCTATACTAATAACTTTTTAAAGAATGGAGTAGTAATTAAAAGAGAGGAAATAGAAAAATAAAAATTGACTTCTGCTCAGGTCCTACTAATGCTGCAAAGACTAATGTCATTTAATGTAGAGAGATTTTATATATGAATTTGTTGTTAATATTCACATAACCTAAGAAATACTATATTTGAACAATTTAAAGTGTATCACACGATATTCTAAGATGAGAATGAATAATAAACTTTACTAAGGATTCTGCGTGTTCTGATGGGGAGGAGGTCCTTGGGGGACAAAATGATATCAAGAATTATTGCTCCGAGTGACACCAATCCTAGTGACACAGCCGAAATTAGGACTTCCCCGGAAATTGAAGGAGAAGCTTTAAATGTTATCTCCCCAAATACTTTCTTTCCAAACAAAACTTGCTGAAAGCTACGATTTCAATCATTTCCGTTTGAGATGAAAGCCCCTGCTCTGAAGAGTGCCATCCACCAGCCTGCCACGGAAATGAGCAGGACAAACTACCAATGTCTCTTTAATATTATCCAAAGGTCAGGTATTCCTTCAAAGAAGACAGAGGTAGCTGCCTCCAGGGACCTCATAGTCAGGTGAGTGTGGAGAACAGTGTACAAAACAGGCACACAGAGGGAACTGATTCAGGAGAACCCAGTGCTGCCAGAGCAAAGCAAAGGAGAGTTTAGCCTAGATGACAGTAGGGAGAGAGCAAGGAAGGCTTCCTGGAGGAGGAGGCACTAAGCAGAGTTTTCTAGCAACTAACTAGATTGGAAGGAGTGGAGCTGACTGTTCCAGGAGGAAGCCACTTCCACAAAGGTCTGGGAAGAGGAGAGAATGTGACTGCAGTATATTCCAGAAACTGTCATTTAAGTGGGAGGGTAAGCCCTGTAGACTGGGGATGGGATGTCTGGAAGAGAGGGGAGACTGGTGGAGAAGGGCTGGAATTAGTGACCCAAGGGTGAAAGCACCCGAGGAATGGTTTAATCAGCAGCATGCTACGGATGGTGAACTTTTATTTCACATACTTTGGCCATATTCTAAGCAGTGGCCAGTCCTTAGGAAAAAAGACATCATGCTTGGAAGGATGGAGGGTCAGCAAAAGAGAGGAAGACCCGCAACAAGATGGATTGACACAGTGGCTGTAGCAACGGGCTTGAGTACATCAAGGTATATATAAGTGTATATATAAGTGTACATCTAAGTGTATATGTAAGTGTATATAAGAAGGCCCAGGATAGGGCAGGGTTCTGGTCTGCTGTTCATAGTGTTGCTGGGAGTTGCAGTTGACTCGACAGCACCTAACAACAACAACAACATGATGTGCATGGTATGAGTCTGGGGAAAACACTCCAGTTGCACCAGGGCAGAGAGAGGTAAGAGAGCAGGTGGAAGACTCTGGGGGAGGCAGGGCTCAGACTGCCCCTGCTGGGCAGCAGCTTAGCTGAGAAAGTCGTGGGCACCTGCAGGGCACCTGCAGCGCCTCTGAGGCCAAACCTGGGTTCCAGTCCCAGTTCTGCCACATTGCAGTTTGGTGACAGGAAAATTATTTCACTACTTAAAGCATCCATTACCCCGATTATAAAATGGAGAGAAAGACACCACTCTCAAAAGGCTATGTGATAAATAGAGGTAACAGAATCTGTATGGTAAGTGGCAAGTCTTCGGGTCATTGGTGCGTCTTCCTCCTGTCCCCATGAGAAGATGACTCCTTGCTGGAGTCAAAGTAAGAGAAGTTGATCACATTCTACTTTAATGACAAAAATAAAAATAGGAATAAAGTGGTAAAGAGAAGTAAATTGTGCTGCAAAGGGAACTCTGGAACTCTTTCACAAAATACAGGAGCCCCGGTAGCACAGTGGTTAAGAGCTTGGCTGCTTAGTCAAAAAGGCTTGGGGATCAAATCCACCTGCAGCTCCACGGGAGAAAGATGTGGTGACCTGCTTCTGTCAAGATACAGCTGTGGAAGCCCTATGGATGGGACAGCTCTCCTCTGCACTACAGGGTTGCTATGAGTCAAAATCACTATATAGCAACAGATTAGGCTTGGTTTTTACAAAAAATACATCCTCCTTCCTGCCCCTGAAGCCTTGGAACCTAGCCTGAGCCCAGAACCCAGCAACGTCTCTCCCCTCCCATTCTCTACTCTTTTAGTCTGCCCCAGTAGAACCCCTAGCCAGCTACTCACCAATCTTGTTATTGGTGTGCTCTGCAGTCGCCAGGGGCTCGTAGACCTCCCTGGGGGATGAGGGACCCTCAGGTGGGCTGGCCCCCAGCAGCTTCAGACTTTCCAGGCAGGGTGTCCCCACGCTGGGGCAGGCCTCCACAGATGGTGTGCTCATCAACCTTTTCTCCTCTGAATCCGTTTCCGTCACTAATATGCTCCTGCAGGGCTGCCGGGAGCACAAGGAAGAAGGTGCTGAGGGGAGGTATCCCAATCTTTCTTTGTTTTTGCAGACACCCAACACCCTTCTTTTTGGTGATCCTTTTCTGCTTTAAAGCTGCCAGGAGTTACGCCGAGGCTTCTCAGCCTTGATGACAGCACATATCTGTGTGTTGATTGGGATAATGCTGTTGCTTTTAACTTAAACTAAAGCATGCATGATAGGAAGCCATTTACAAGGTGCTCTGACCATGTTCTAAGTCCCTGGATTTCTTATTCCCAGAAACATCCCCCACAGATCAGAAAACTAAGGTCCAGATAAGTCAAGCAACATGCTCAAGGTTATACAATTAGAGATTGTCTGGACAAGAACTTGAACTCTGGTACTCTTGCCTGATCTGGGCCATAGTCTTTACAATTGCGTGCTATGCATTGGAGAGCTGTAGTGACTGGGGATGATAGAAAGAGAATTGATGCCTTTGAGTTGTAGTGCTGGAGAAGAGTGTTGAATATACCATGGACTGCTAGGAGAACAAACAGATTCAGCCTGGAGAGGGTGAAACCAGGCTGCTCCTCGGAGGCAAGGATTCTGAAGCTTTATCTGACATACTTTGGGTATGTTGCACAAAGGGACCAGTCCTTGGAAAGGGACATAATGTTTGGGAGAGTGGAGGGACAGCGCAGGAGAATACGACCCTCAATGAGATGCTTCGATTCAGTGATTGGGGTAATGGGAGTAGGTGTATCTGAGACAGTGAGGTTGGCTCAGGATAGAGCAGGGTTTAGGGCTTTTGCTCTTTTTTTAAAATTATGTTATTTGTGTGTGTGTGTGTGTGTGTGTGTGTGTACTATCAAATCAGATCTGACTAATACAGAAAATTGTTCCCCCTTCTCCAGCAGAGCATCTGGTGGATTCGAACTGCAACCTCTGGGATTGCAGTGCAGCTTCTTGCCACTAGTCCACCAGAGCTTGAGGCTGAGGGCTCTTGCCGCTATGAGTCGCAAACCACTTGATGGCACATAACAACAACAACAACTCTCACTCCATAAAAATCTGTATGTCTCCTGACACACTGCCTCCTGGAAGCCCTCCCAGTGCACCAGCTCCTGGGTCCAAGTGGCACTTCCTGCAGGAGCAAACCACTTTCAGTGGAGATCCCTCACACAAGAGCCTGGTCCTACACCTTCTGAGGGCCCTCACCTCTGCACTGGCCTGCGGAGCTGGGCAAACAGGGCAAGGTACCATGCTGCGTGGTTGTAGGAATCAGGAGACAAGTTTACAGAGGCCCTCCCAGCACATGGCATGCCATGAGCACTGAGGTCACTCTCAGGAGGTAGCCTTGGGTGAGAGTCGGGTCACCATTCTTGGAGTCACACAAACTATACGTCAAATCCAAGTTGACCCATCTGTGGGTGACTTCAAGGCTTCCACCTGGATTCATGGGCCCCCAGTTTCCTCTCTGAATAATAGGATGACCGTCCCCACCTCTGACCCCAGGAGAGAATTTCTATAATGTAAAACAGAAAGTAACTGCCTGGTACATAGTAAATGCTGTAAATGGCAGTTAATATATATGTATTTTTCCCATTCATGTTATTGATTTGTTATCCCTAACTGAAGGTTGTAACTCACAGAGGAGTTAAAGACTAAAAGGGAAATTAAACACAGGCTTCCACTTCATTAGCTCTGGCATTCAACAAGGCCCAAACAAAATCTACTGCCTGGCAGTCCCCTCTGGAAGTCCCCAGCCCGCTGAGCCAGGAGCTGTGGGGGTGGGAGGCGGGCTGAGGCCCTGTGCCAGAACTTCTGTGCTCCCAGCTCCATGCAGTGGGGCAGACCCAGTCAGAACCTGCAGGGGACCGAATCCCAGGCTATTTGGGGGCACACAGTCCATCCCTTAGGTCTCAGGAAAGGAGTCAGGTTTAGGGGCACAGAGCTGGAGTAGAGATGAGGAAGGGGCTGCGTACCTTGGGCAACTTCTGTGACCTGGAATCTGAAAAAAGAAAAAAGAGCAGTAATTTCACCTGTTGGCAACGGGCCCGTGGATGGCCAGCTGTGCTGAGCTCTGCGCAGGGCTGGGCACTTGGTCTGGCGTGTGAAGAATGGGTTCAAGTCTCAACATGCCCACCTTTGCAGGCCGGGGCACTTCTCCCCTCCACCGCGCCCCCACCCCCAGCCTCCCCAGCAGCAGTGTGGGTTTGGCAGCTCCAGGGAACCACCATGTACTAGCCACCCTCACTCCAAGCAGACTCGGCCCATCATCCCAGGAGGTCTCACCCCAAAACACACGGTGATGGGGAGACAGACACAAAGGTGCCCCTCATGGCTAGAGCAAAGGGGGCTTCTGTGGGGCAGACGTGACTCTGCCCTCTCCCTGCAGCTCCAGGGTCTGGAGAATCTAGAGTGTCCCAAAGCACCATGTAGAACTCACAGGGATGAGCTCCCCTCAGCTCACAGACACAGAATGGAGTCTGAGGATCTCAGCAGAACCCCGAGTCCAGACATGCCTGAGGTCAGTCCGCCTTGGGGCCTTTTCCTTTCCAGCCAGCCTGGGTTCAGTTTTCTATTACTTCCTACAGCTCCTCAGTCACCCCGCTTCCTCTGGCTCTGTCTTTTCAATTGAGGCGGTGAGTGTTAGGGTACAGCCTTTACCTTCCCATCACAAGGCCCCTTCTCCACTCCACTTTTTCTTTTGTATTAAATAGGGTGCCGGATCACGGCCATGCATGTGTACACTGATGTTTAACTGCAGCCTGCTGGCCTTAAAAGAACAGAAAATAAAGCACCCCCCAAAAAACCAAAAAACAAACAAACAAAAAAACCACCAAACCAACAAACTGAAAAGGTTGTCCAGACATCTAGTCTACTCTTGAGCAAATCAACTCCCAATTTCAAAGAGTCTTTGAGGGGCATGCAGCATTTAATGACTCCCAGGAAGACCAGCTACAGATTCTTGGCATGTGTTTTGTTAGATGTGCTTGCCTGACTAGAAAAATCAGCAAAAAGATGCCAACATGTAGCTACGTCACCACCAGAGTACTCTCTGGCTCAGCCAACATCAGAAGCCTTGGTTCCTGGATCCCGGAAACGCTCATTGACGGTCAGTCAGCAGACAGTGCAGATAAGGTTGGCAGTCTGGACCTGCTGCTGAGACACCAGTCACTTTGGGAAGTGCCCCCATAAATGAGAAGAAGACCCTGGACTGTGAATAGAACAAAAAAGTCTGTCCTGGAGAGGGTGAGATCAGGTTGCTCCTTGGCAAAGGTAAGGATTTTGAAGCTCCGTTACACATACTTTGGACATGTTGTCAGGAGGGGCCAGTCATTGGAGAAGGGCATTATGCTTGGAAGGTTAGAGGGTCAGCGCAGGAGAGGAAGACCCTGCATGAGACGGATTGACACAGTGAAGGTGGTGATTGGGTGAGGTGTGTCAGACACAGTGAGGTTGGCTCAGGATGGGTCAAGGTTTTGAGTCATTGTTCATAGGGTCATTATGAGCACATTAACATGTGCGTGTAGCATTTCCTGTATTCCTCCAACAGTATGGCTAAGCACTGTCGTTATCTTGGGAGATAAGAGGAGCAGTGAAGTGCAGCGACATGTCCATAATTCTACAGCTAACGTGAGCAGAGCTGGCCCTCAGACGCAAAGGCCATGACAGAATGGTTCCAATCAGCAACCTTCTTCACCACTGCATAAAAAAAATAAGTGTCTCCCACCTTTGAAAGACCAAACTAGATGCTCTGTCTACTGACAAGGACAGACTAAGAAGCAGAACTGACCATCCACCAAAGCCCTGTGAATGGGACACAACAACCACAACTCATAAACGGACGTGATCAACAGCAGGAAGCAAGTGACTGGTGGGAACAGATCACAAAGATGGTGGTTCTGGGCTGAACTGTGTCCCACCTATACATAAGACTTTGCAATATATATACACATATATATTCAAGTTCTAATTCCTGATACCTGTGGAGGTGAACTTGTTTGGAAAGAGCATCTTTGTAGATATAATCACATTAAGTTGAACAAAACCTGCTGAAGTCAAATGAATTCTGAGTCATGTTGTTGTTTTATTAGGCTGAGTTGGAACCGACTCATAGCTGACCCTCCTACTGGTTTTTAGAGGCTGTAAATCACACAAGGGAGCTCTGATGGCCTAGTGGTAAGAAACTGCGCTGCCATCCCAAAGGCATGGGGTTCAAATCCACCAGCTGCCCTGCGGGAAGATGGACAATCTCTTCCCAAACGATTTACTGTCTCTGAAAACCCTCTGGAGGGGCAGCTATGGGCGGTTCCAACTCAATGGTACATGACGACAACAACAACAAAACACACAAGAGAAGATTATCCATCTTTCTACTGAGGAGCAGCTGGTGGATTTGAACCACCTACCTTGGGCTGACAATGCAATGCCTTACCACTAAGCCACCAGAGATCCCTACTGACTCTTACCAATGTTACAGGACAGAGTAAAACAGCTTCATTAATAGTTTCAATTTACTAAAGAAGACCAAACATGACAGTCTTCATTATTGATTACATCACAGCATCAAGAAAACAAAAATTCTCACAACTGGATCAGCAGGCAACATCTTAATTGTTGTTGTTATGTGACATCGAGTCCCTTGAAACTCATAGCAACCCTATGAACAGAGCCCTAAACGCTGCTCTATCCTGTGTCAACCTCGCCATCTCTCACACATTCATTCCAACCACCCCAATCACAGAATCCATTCATCTCATCGAGGGTCTTCCTCTCCTGTGCTGTCCCTCCACTCTCTCAAACATGATGTCCCACTCCAAGGACCAGTCCCTCCTTGCAACATGTCCAAAGTATGTCAGACAAAGCTTCAGAATCTTTGACTCCAAGGAACATTCTAGCTTCACCCTCTCTAGGACAAACCTATTTGTTCTCCTAGCAGTCCATGGTATATTCAACACTCTTCTCCAGCACCACAGCTCAAAGGCATCAATTCTCCTTCTGTCATTCCTATTCACTGTCCAACTCTGTGATGCATAGCATGTAATTGCGAAGACTATAATCCAGATCAGGTGCACCTTAGTCTCCAGCCTGAGGTTGCTTTTCAGTACTCTTGAGAGGTCCCCCACAGCGGACTTTCCCAATGCAATTCGTCTCTTGATTTCCTGGCTGCTGTTACCAAGAGTGCTGACTGTGGAACCAAGTAAATGAAAACTGTTAACTATCTCAATCTCTTCACCATCCATACTGATAGATGCCAAAGAGATTGAAGTGGTCAATGGTCTCATTTTGTTTGAAACCATAACCAACTTTTATGCTAGCAGCAGTCAAAAAACCAAAAGGCATATCAATGCACTAGGCAAATATGTTGTCAAAGACGTACCTAGAGCGCTCAAGAGCAAGGATGTCAGTTTAAAGACTAAAATGATCCTGATCCAAGTTGGAGTACTTTCAATTCCTTCCTATGTATGAGAAAGCTGGACAATGAAGACAAGGAAGACTGATAAAGAATTAAAGTCCTTGAATTGTCTTGGTGAAGAGTATGGAATATCCCATGTATTTCCAGAAGAACAAACAAATCTGTGTTGGAAGAAGTGCAGGCATGATGCTCCTTAGAGACAAGGGTTATGGGACTGCGTCTCACATACTGGGCACGTTGTCAGGAGGGCCAGTCCTTGAAGGGGACATCACGCTTGAAAAAGTGGTCAATGGAGGAGCAGAAGAACCTCAAAGAGATGGATCAACACAGTGTCTTCAACAATAAGGCTAAGTGCAGAGGGGATGGTGAGGATGACACCAGGTCAGACAAGTTTCCTATCTGATGACAAAGGGTCACTGTCAGTCACAGCCAACTTGATGACACCTCGTAACAAGAAGTTTGTATTTCAGTCCGCCAAAAGAATGAGCAGATCAGTGTTAGAAGAAATATAACTAGATTGTTCCTTAGAAACAAGTAGGGTGAGGCTTCAGCTTACTCTCTTCGGACACCTCATGAGGAAAAAACAATTGCTAGGAAAACGATTATCATAGATAATAAAGCAAAAAATGAAGGAAATCCTCCATGAGCTGACCTGACACAATAGCCACAGAGTGGATTGGAACACCAAGAAGAATGAAGAAGGCTCGGCACAGGGCGCTGCTTCCTTCTCTTACACGTAAGGCTGCCAGGAGTCAAGATAACAACTTGCAGCAGCCCGGCCTCCAGAGTGGTGAGAAATGAAACGTCATTTCCTTTTAAGCCATTCATTTGGAAATACTTTACCACAGTGGTCCTAGACAGCTTCTACAATCATAAAAAGAACTATGTGTATACAATAACCCTCTGATTCTTGATTTAATAAACACACTCGGCTTGGGGGAAGGCAAGCTCATTACTGTGGAGTGAATTCCACTTTATGGTGGCATATGTGTTCCAGAGTAGAACTCAGCTCTGTGGAGTTTTCTTGGCCGTAATCTTTCCAGAAGCAGATTGCCAGGCCTTTCTTCTGTGGCCCCGCTGGCTGGGTTTGAACCACTAACGCTTCAGTTAGTGGTTAAGCACAGTCTGTGCCACCCAGGGACCCACAGCAGCCCTAGTAAGTGCTGCTTCCAGCAAATTGATCACCTTAGAGGAACAAGTTCCTTCCCACAAGGTGGCCACTGCTCAAGTCACAGTTGGAGGGAAAACTCCAGTAGCTGGAGGTAATTCCTTTACGCAATATCAGAGAAGCCGAATCTTTGTCCCTCCAGAGTTGTTTCATGTTTCAAAATTGTTGTTGTTGTTATGTGCTATTGAGTTGCCTATCCTGTGCCAATCTGTCTCTGAAACATCTACCCCATTACCCCAGTCACTGAGTCAATCCATCTCATCAACGGTCTTCCTCTCCTGCACTGTCCCTCCACCCTCTCAAGCATGACGTCCATCTCCAAGGACTGGTCCCTCCTTGCAACATGTCCAAAGTTTGTCAGACAAAGCTTCAGAATCCTTATCTCCAAGGAGCAGCCTGGTTTCACCCTTTCCAAAGTGAA